AAATAAAAAAAAAAAGAATATAAAAAATAAATAAATAAAAACATTATGTACATATGTATATAATATAAACGCGAATATACAGCATCTAGTGAAAAAGGAAACATGTGTTATAATTATTTTATAGTAAATACATATAACTATTTAAATATACTCATATTATGTATACATTAAAATTTACAAAAATATAAATATATTTAAATAGGGTATGTAATTACTTAATGTTTGAAAGGTAAAAACAAAAAAGAAATTTACCTAGATTTACCTTAATTTTTATTGTTTTAATTTTAATTTTAATTCAAAATTTATAATCTTTTATAGGTGGTAATTTACAATTATGCTTAGATATTACGATTATTATTTTTTTTTTTGAAATTTATTTGCTTCACAAAAATAATATGTAAATTACAATTTACAATTTTATTTTTTTTTTTCAATATAAAATAAATATTTTAGTAAGTCGAAGGTTTTTGCTTTCGGGCAAAACGCTAATTACTGTATATATAAAAATTAAAAAACTATTAAAATAATAATGCAGCTTTTAAATCATTATTATTGAAAATTTAAGAAAAACTTTTATAGAATATTTGGTAAAAAAAAAAAACAAAATCATAATTTAGAAAATATATATAAAATATACTTCTATATTATCTATTTAATATATGAATATTTTCTATAATATATATTTTATAAGTAACAAATTAAAAAACAAAAAAAAAATTAATTTAGACGCAGCCACAAAAGATTAAGAAATGAAAATTAAAAAAAAAAAAACAGACGTAATAAATTGTAAGAAATGATTGAAAATAAATAAGGATAAAATTGAGAAAATCAACTTTTAAAATGCAAAATATTTTTTAGAATTGTAAAATCTTAAGGTTTAACGTAATATCTTTTCATTTTTTTTTTGTTGAAATAAAGATGTTTTATTAATTTTTAAAAATTTCTCTCGAGTTTAAATGTAGTGTTTATAAAAAAAAATAAAACTTTTATTTGTAATTAAACTTTTAAAAATCTAAAAAAAAACATAATAGAGTACTAGCTTTTAATTAAAAAAAAATTTTTAATATTTTATCCCTTCAAATAGAAAGAAAAAATCTTGAATTGCATTGAATCGGTGATGAAATCGGTTATGCATAATAACACATTATACATGAATTAAATTCTAATGTTGCAATTATTTAAATTAAAACCTCTCCTGGATTTGATATTGAGAAATTTTTTAACCAAACCAATGAATAAGACGTATTTGACAACATAAAATACGTAAGCTTTTGAATGAAGACAATTTAAAGTAATAAACATTGTAAATGAGTAAATACATACTTAAAAACTTAATGAAAATTCCAGCAATTAGAATTCTCGACAAATTCATGAGGAACTTCATATTAAAATCAAACAATGTTTAATGATTTTTGAACATTAAAAATTAATAAATAAAATTGAAATGCCCAGCTTTCATCTATGAAATGTGGTTAGATTCAGAAACACTTAAATTTTCCTATTAATTCAATATTATGGGTCCATAAATAAAGATTTAACATTATTCAATTGGTGAATTGCTAAAATAGAAAAGCAAAGATATTAAATACAATGAAGAACAAAATAGTAATGAAAAAATCTATAATTGTCTTTTAGTAATATATTTTATTTGCAATAAATAAATTTTTGATTAATATCAAATTTATAAAAGTATAAAACACTAATAATTAGTTTCAAGTTAATGCATTTTTAGTATTCAATTACCACAATAACAAAAAAAGCATGACTTTCAAATAAATAAATGTGGGAATTTTGAAGAAATTCATGAGTCCCCCTTATTTTAAATTTTTCAATGTCAATTGAATATTTCGATGAAAATAATGTAAAAACTTCCAGTTATGTAAACTAAGAGTATATAAATCATTTTAGTGCAATTGTTTTTATAAGTGTTTAGTTGAATATCGTTTTCTTTTTATGAAATACAATTGAAGTCAGCTTTATATTATTTCTTAGTTAGCAATTTTAATTTCAGCTTTTCCAGTCCATTCTTCTTTAAGATCAACTTTACAACCTAAATCACGTAAAGCACTTTTAACATCATGCAAAATAGCTGGAAACTCTTGTAAAGCAGCATTTAATAGTTCTTCAGCACCAAATGATAGAAAATGTTCACATTGTTCACGAGATCTTGACACCATATTACGTATTGCCCAAGCAGCATTTCTCTAGAAAAAAAAAAATTTGTTTTTTTATAGACATTAAGTAACATTTATTTTTATATTTAAACACACTTGAACTATTTTACTTTTAGGATGAATTTTCATGCTCTCAATTATTACTTCAGCAATTCCAGTTTCGAAAAATGCTGCACTGTTCTCTTTAACACGTAATGTAAGTGTTGAAACACATGCCAAAGCATTTGCAGTTACACTTTCATTCTCCTTTAAATATGAAAATTATTCATCAATTAATATAAATTCATTAAGTTATCTAATATAAAATTTAAATGGAATTATTAAACTTTGTGTTTTACCTTATTACTATCCAAAATATTGTAAATTATTGGTGGTGCACCTTTTTGAACAATTTTATTCTTAACTTGATCATGTCCGCCCAAGGCCCTTAATAATTTTAAGGCTTCACGATTTAATTTAACTTCATTTGGGAATTTATTCTATATTGGAAAAAAAAAATATAGAAATTATCCAATTATTTTTGTTAATAGAAGTTTATCGATAATTCACATAAACTTTATATACCATTAAATTAAAAACTTGTTCTAAGCCACCTTCCTCCTCAACTGCAATACAAAATTCTTGGCGAACAACTAGTGATGCAATTGTTAAAATTAAATCACTTAAAACATTAACATCATCGTGCTCTAAAATTTTTACATCAAATAAGAAATAATATTAAGAACTAAAATTTTTTCGCAACTTTAAAAGTATCAATACCTGATAGAATTTTTGTTAAATCAATCAGAACTTCTGAAGCAATTTGTCTTGCATGCTCATGTGCTTTACCAAATTCTACACGTATATCATCATCTAATATCAAACTGCGATATAATGTACATAAATCTTTTACAACTTTTCCATTTGGATTTTTAACAAGAGGTTTAGTGTAATTCATTATATTTGCATTCATAATATTTTGTCGATTAATTTCATGTAGAACACATGCTTTCGGTAAATACTGAAGTGTTGCTGATATCAAATTTATTTCATTTTTATGAGTATCCAAAATTTTTATAACAATTTTTAATGATTTATCATCAAATATATCTGGATATTTATTTGTTAAGGCTGTTTTTGCATTTAAACAATATACCATTAAATCAATATTTCGTGATGATTCCGGTAAGTTAAGTTCATTTTCAATTATTTTTAGTAAAATTTCATGAGCACCATGTTTAGCTGCCATAACTCTATGCGGTATAGACTTTTTGCATTCTGATTCCAATATTTTAAGATTTTCAATTAAATCATTCTCATTTAATTTTATACCATCATCAATATGAGATTTTAATTTATGAATACATTCATTTAAAATTGGTACACCAGTTTCATCATTTATTGTTAAATCTTTAATAATATTAGCCAAATTAATATCTTGAGCTTCAAATTGTTTAATAGTTTCTTCTCGGGCTTCATTCGGTGACATTGAAAATTCAATAATATTTTCTCTGACAACATCATCAAAAGTTTCTTGTGAAATAAATTTGGCCACTAAAAATTTTTATATTAAAAAGAATTATTAGTAATAAGCAAATAAAGTTAAATTTTTTTTTATTTTTTAATAAATAGATTTATTAAAAACTGCCTTCACATTATGTAAGTATGAATTGAAAATCTACATACTTAATAAAACCTAGTAGAAAATCCTTGTTTTTTTTAATTAAAAATTGAATTCTTTTATAAATCCTCATTGATTGCAATTTTCATATAGCCAAATATTTTTATGAATGTGTCCTTTATAATTAGTCCTAAAAATAATATTAAACCAGACATGGATAAAGAGACAACTAGGGTCAACATTGTAAGCTTCTTAATTGTACAAAATCTATTTAATTTTAAATTTCCGAAATAGTTTCAATCTCTTTTATAATGGCATAAGAAATTTATTTGAAATTTTTGGATGCTTCTAATGCATTATATACCTACATATGTATGTATCTACACATGCATACCTAAATAAAATCATTAAAAACTCTTAAAATTCACAAAAAAAAATTAATTTTAAAATTTCATAATATGCGCTCGTCGACTAATAATTTTATTTTTATTAAAATAATTAATTTCAAGTAATGAATTTTTTTTTCAAATTTTAAAAGTTAAGAGATGTAAGTCTTTAATTTTTAAATTTTTATATGTACATCTGGGAAAAGGGACTTTTTTTTTAAAGTATAAGCTCATTAGTGTGTTGATGGTGCGATTCTTGGTGGTGAAATTTTTTGATCAATTGAATTAATTTATGATAAATTGCATTAATATAATACGGCCCTGATCTGTGATTCGTTTTATTATTTAAATTAGAAAATACGTCAGATTCCAATTGCGAAATTCATATTTCAAAGAAAAAATTCAAATTTATGAAAAAGGCATTTTTTTTTAATATCCAAAAATTTAAGTACAGCATCCAATATTTCTTTAAAAAAATTGTAATATTTTGGAGCTCCATTTTATGAATTTACATATGTATGTACATAATTGCATATACATATGTACATATATAGGTACATACATTAAAAGAAAATTTTATGAAAATAAAAAACAAAAAAATTCATAATTTTACACTTTTTTCTTTTTTATTCAGGGTTTTTTATTTTATTCAGGGAAAGAAATCTGAAGAACAATGAAATTTTCCATATTCATGATATTATGTACGTATGTATGTTTATAACAGTACATCCATTCATATATACATATATAATATAATATATACTACAATATCAAATGCTTATATATGGAGGAATAGTAGAGTAGAGTACACAAAAATATCTGGGACCTTTGTTTTTTTCTTTCTCTAACATCTTTCCCTGTCTGTACTCGTATTATCGATTAATTTATATATAAGCTTATAAACAAAATATAAATATACATACATAAACATAATTATATATACTTATATATATGTATATAAAACCCATGTATAACAAAAAATTAAATAAAAAAAAATAGAACAAGAATTCATGGGCAAACTCTTATCATTGAAATAAGAACAAACAAAAATAAAATAAAAAAAAAAAAAAAAATACATCATAAAAAAACAAACGCAAAATAAAGTTAAAAAAACGAAACACAAAAAAAAAAAAAATAAAAAAATTAAAAACAAGAGTAAGTAATAAGATAAAATTCAAGTCATTCCAGAGGTGGTGACTAAAAGGAAAACAATGGAAAGAGAAAAATAGAAAGCAAAAGAATTTAAATTAATTTTATTAAAAAAATTTGTTTTTTTTTTTTTTTATCTAATCAAATTTGAATTTCAACTATTTTTTATTACTAAGTGCAACTGAATACTAACTCTAAGTATCTACAATGTCTATGAATTTTTTCTGCGTCAGAATTACACTACATGCAATTTTAGATATTGCTCATTTGCTGCAACATTGTCATAACTCAAAAAAATAAGATTTCTGATTTATTTATACAAGCACTTAAAAAATTGCTTGTTTTATGAAAAAAAACCATTTCTCTAATTTAAAAATTGTAGCTTACAATGAGTAATAAAATAATGAGAAAATTCAATACTCCGAAACTTCAAAATTCAATTTTCTCAAATATGCAAATTTTGAGTTATGTCAGAATTGCTTCAAACAACCTATAAGTGTATACGTTTTTTTATGAAAATTGTTCAATTATTATTCAATTATGCATTTTTTTATTGAAAAATAAAATTAACGCAACTCTTATATTTTCTTACATAATGTATAATATACATAGTCCCCACTATAGCAAACGCCTGAATCTACAAAAGTGTGATTTTGAGATAACCAACCCATCTATATTTTAGATTTCTCCAGAATATAAAGTTTATTTTCAGAAATATTGTGTCTAAAATATAAGATCAATTTAAATAATTTTGAAGATTATTGTGAATTTTGTCAGTTTACGGACGATATTTTCTATTACATAATTTCTTTACATATTTGCATGCATACGTACATATTTACATATATATTTACATATACGTTTTATACTTATTTTACTATTTATTTGTTAGTCACATTTGTTAGTTGAGGTGGTGTTTTGTTATTTAAAAGTCTTGTAATTTTTTGAGTAAAGACAATTCGAAAATTCGAAATTCTTTTCAATAATATCAGATCACTTCAAGTGGTACCACTAACAGAATAACACATAGGTGATAATCTATGCAGGTAAATATAATATTATTATTCGAATATTAAAATAATTCGAAAATTACTAAATAACCTATAATTGCATATTTACATAACTTATAAGATCCGAAACCTTTACAAAATTTCTAGTACAAATAATAAAAAAATTTTTTTTTAAATTTTCTTCAATTCCAAACAATTAATCAATATCAATTTAAAGATCAAAATTGTGCGATCTTTGATTCTACAGTGTAAAATTTTGATCGCAATAAATTTATTTTTATTGATTATTGTGAATAAATTAAATGTCATAGACGTTATTATTTTTCGAGATATTAATACTTAATACAATTTGTATTTATACACACAATCATATTAACATTATAGTTATAACCAATTTGGCATGATTAAAACTGCCAGATACCGCAATTACATAGAACCGAGTGAAAACAAGAGGACATTTCTTCAGAGTCACCGTAGTCATTTCACCGTTTTTATTTTTGGGGAATTTAAAAATTTTAATTTGCTATATGCGCATTGTTCATATCCTTACTTCCACTTTTTCTATATAAGACCAAATTATTCTCGTACTTTTTAGATTTTTATATAATTCTAACGGATTTTGTTTTGTAATTTTTCAATTTACTAATAACACAAAAATTTCCTATTAACACAAGAACCCTCAGTTTTTCCACTCTTTTTGTAAATTAAGGAAAATGTAGATTACGCTAAACAATTTTTCTATTAATAATTTAATTGAAATTCATATCATCTAACAAATTTTGAGTTGAACTCAAGTTGTTCGTAATAATGTGAAAGTTTACGTCATATTTAAACACTTTTTCTAAAAACTTATTTTTCACATGTGGTGTAATTATTTAGCAAATTTACTACTAGAAATTAGATCAATGTTAGATCAATACTATTTGCTTCAATAAATTTTATGGAAGGAAAGTTAAAAACTATGTGTACATTTCAAATTCATTTTAGTAATAATACAATTTTCTTAAAAGCCGGAATATTTCTTACTGTATATACATATATATTAGTTTTACTATAAATATAATTAATATTCATGTAATATACATATACATACCATACTTTGGATGGAGATCTTATTAGAGATCTATTCTAAGATAAAAGTGGAAGATTTTTATTAAATCTTCAAAGTATGGATTAAAAATTATTGAAATTACATATATTTGGTTTTTTCCTTTCAAAATATTTTTAAAGAATTATAGAAACTTATAAATTTTTTAAATTTATATACATACATATGTACACACATTATACCAAAAATATCTTCTGGCCTAGAAGAATTAGCAACGTTGACATATGGGTACTTACCGGCGAGGAAACAGTAAGTTTACAAATAAATAGAAAAAAACGTCGCTGATTGGGCCATACCTTCGGTCAGAGAAAACTAGATGCGATTGAACGACAGTCTCTTGATTGGAACGAAAAGTGGGAAGAACTCGGACAAATTGGCGACGAGCAGTGCAGAAAGAAATTTCGGTTATTGTTAAAACCTGGGCAGAAGTAACTAGCAAATAATAGAGTACAGGTAGTGAAAGCAAAATGAAAAAAAAATACCAAAAATTAATTATCTTCTAATGCAAAAGTTACCAAATTTATATTTTTAATTGGTTTGATCAAACATTTGATTATAAATACATTTGTTATTTGAAACCTAGCGCATCGCTCTAAACGTAAAGGTTTTTTTTATTATTGAAATCCCGTTTAAATTATTTGTGCGTGTGTTAAAAAAACATTATTAAAAAATAAATAATTATTCAAATTTGTTATTTGATTTCAATTATAATTTAGTTTGAGGCGTTTTTATTTTCGATACCAACATGAAAATATCACGTACACGTATTTTATGAGTAATTTAATTAGATAACACAGTTATAAATATTATTTTTTTTAATATTATTAATATTGTTAGTTCAATTTTTTTAGCGCAATCCGTCCGTTTATCGTGTGCCTTCATATAATATAAAAAACTTAAAATTTTAATTTAAATCATATGAAAAGAAAACCAATGTGACTTGTGAACCGCCTCAAAGACTTGCGGATTTTACTTTTAATGTTTTCAAACTAGATCTTTTTTAAGAACTTAGAATAGAAAGGCTCTAAAATTTATGGATTAAATTAAAATTTATTAAAATTTGCAATTAGGTAATCTTAAGTGTTAAGCATATTTTTTCAAATTTTTTTTTATAACATATTTTCGGAACATAATGATAGACAAGCAAAACATACTTGTAGTACATAAATTATATCTTTCGATACTGTCACATTCAAATTATCCTAAAAATTTATTCCTATATTGCTAAAACTTAAAAAATCATAAACCGGAATATCAGAAAAATACCTTAGCTTCATTCTTTATTTCTTTTACAAATCGCTATTAAAGGTTATTAAATAGAAAATGTGCTTTCTTAAAAGCCCCCCGTTTAAAAAGAGAAGGCTTTTACATTGCTAACAATATTAATGAATAATAAATGAATTTCGTTGTAATTTTTAATTGTTATCACAAAAAAAAAATTTGTAGGCGAAACTAAAAAAGTTTTTTACCATAATAGTGATAAAATTATCTTAATAGTTATTAATAGTCACAAAATTTTCAATAAAAACAATATAAATTTAATAAATATAAAATTAGAAATGTGACTTAACACTTATTTTTAAAAGAAATACATATTCCCATACATTCTGCTAGTCCCATCATTTGACGTGATAGATTGTTATTCAAAAATTTTGAGATTTTACGCTGAAAACCAAAATATTTCTCAGTTAATAATCACCTCAAGTGATACGACTAACAGAATATTGGTGATTGCGAGTAACGGAATAGAAACCGATAGAAAGTTACTGATTTCATTTAATTTCGGGCAGATTTTTTTTCCTTAATTTTTCTGTTTAGGACAAGCTTAATTGATTTCATCCATTCTGAATAAAAAAAAAATGAAGAAATTTTCGTTATTTATTTTTTACAAATTTATTATTAGAGGTTAATTTTATTATTAAATTAAATTCTAGATAAAAGACGAATAACATTGACAAAATTTAAATAATATAATTCAATTCATATATTTAAATTTGTTCTATGTGTTATTCGTTCTGAGCCTGCGATATCTAACCAGAAGTGTTACTTACTTAAATATCACATTTTTTGTTACTGAGTTGGCAATGAATGTAAAATTCATTTGTGTAAAAACGATATTCAAACACTTTTTGCTTTTAAAATATAATTATTGAAATTTTTCAACAAATTCTAATGCTAATATTTTGGATATATACCCAATGATACTGAATTTTTTTTTAGCATCATTCTCGTAAGCAAACGAAAGAAGGTAACGAGAGACACAAAATATTTTCATGCAAAAAGTTTTGAAATTTAAGAATGATTTTCTTCAGACTCACAAACTTTATAACATAGTTATTGCGTTTTATATGAATTTTCTGCAATTCGCCCGTCCCGAAAGTTAAATATTTTATCTATCGCCCGTAATTTACATATATTACTAGTAGGAGTAAAATTAATAATGATCAAATATCAATGACAATTTAGATTTCGAGTCATATCACAAAATTTGAAATGCCAAATCAAGTAAACTTTAGGTTCGTTTATAAATACAATAACGACAAATTTAAACTGAGCTTTTAATTTTATTAAAAATTAGAAAATCTTATTTAATTTAAAATTAATTAATTGTATTTAATATTTAGTTATTTCTGATTTAAAAAAAAAATACGAAATATTTAATTTTAAATAAAATAATTCAAGATTTTATTTCATCTTTTTTCATGTATTTTTTTTTTTCTTGTTTTTTATAATTGTTATAGTCTCTTAGTTCTTTTTTGTTTTCTTTTTATTTGTTTTGTCTTGATACAGGGGGGTCTTCTTATTTCTAATACAATAATAATTATATTATATATTTTATTTACAAGAGCGAAAAAAGAAAGAATATTATAACACTGGTGCTATAGTTTAATTATTTTTTTTTTTATCTTTATTTTGAACCTATGTAAATCTTTATTTATTCTTCTTTTTATATTTTAAATTATTTCATTTACATATTATTGTATCTGTTATAAAACAAGGTGAAATTCTACTTGTTACAATGTTTTAAATTCGTTAATTGATTTTCTTTTTTTTTTTTATAAAATACATATTATGCATGTGAAATTTTTTATTTGTACTTGAAAAAAATTTTTTGAATATTTTAAAAATGTGATCTTTTATTTATAATGAGTTCTTCGAAAGACTATGGGCGGCTAGCAAAATGCAATTCTAACGTCAATTTGTCTTATTCGACAGTAATGTTTTAATAAATGAATAAGTTAATTTAACGTTAGATCTGCATTTTAATGGACGCCGTGTTCCATTTCGAATTTATGTAAGTTTTTATTGTGCTTAATTAAATAAATAATTGATTTGAATTGAATTGCTATTTTTTCTTAATATTTGATCTATTTTTTTTATATTAGAAAACAATGCATTATTTTACAAATATGTATTCATGTTTATTTAATATTAATGAGCAAAATCCTTTCTAGGGTTTTATATTATTTATGTGCATTTCGAATTTATATTTGATGTGTTTAAAGTTTATAACAAGCAAAATTTCGCCACAAATTTTTTTTTATTTAATTAATATCGATTATTTTGTTTTTTTATTTTTTTGTTTCTATATATTTGTTTAATTTCTTTCTCTAAAAAAATAACTAATAACTACCTTACATAAATGCTTTGTTTTCTTTTAATTTAATATTTTTCTGTTTTTTTTAAGAAGTCGCTTAAACCTAAGAAAAATGGCAAAAAACCTTGCTAAAATATACCTTTAAAGATTCACGTTTTTTCTTTATTTTTTTTATTTTATATAATTTATATTATGTATTTTATTTTTTATAATTGGAAAGCTTTCAAATATTCCTTTTCATTTTCAATTATATTTGTTTAAAAAAAACATATTTTTCAAAATAAATTTTTATTATGTTCTCTACAAGTACTATTTTCACCATTTTAAATGCATTTTACAAAAATTTTATAAAGTGCATTTTGGTTCAAAGTATCACAAATATTGAAAAAACTAAAAAAAAGCGAAAAGAAACTATTTTAAGTGTTAAAAATTTAAAAATAATGGAAATGTTCTGTTATACATGATTGTAATAAATATTGACGGTGGTATCAAAAACTTGAAATGACCAGAATTTAAAAAGTTGTAAAAAAATGTACATTATTAACTATAAAAATTTTTTCAAGTAAAGTTATGAATTATTAAAATTTTTTTATAATATTATTAATTTTCAATTCATTATAAAGTAAATTACTGAATGAAATGGAAAAATGTTGGTAGTGAAAATTATATTTGAATATATTTTAGTTAATGGTTCTTTTTCTTGGTTTTATTATATAGAAATTTATCAAAAAGTTTAAATTTTTTTTGTGTTAATAATGAACAACAATAGTGGCTATTAAGAACTATTTCATTTGCACCGTACAATTTAAGACAACAGTATTTTGTTTAAGATATTTTTATTTAAATAATTACTACTTTTTTTTAAATAAAAAAAGTCAATAGAAAATTAATTATTAATTTATAATATAATAAAAATTAAATTTGATTGTACTCATAATTTCATTAGTTTTCCATTTTTGCAATTTTGAATAATAAAATCAAGTAGAATGTAAAAAAAAATAATGAAATTTATTCTATTCATATATTTTATGAATGTATTCATAAAATATATGAATAGAATTGAAATTCATATATTGAAATAACATTAAATAGTACATCTTGATGAAGATAGTCAATACTATTTGATTTTAGGTGATGATAAAATTTTTCTTATATATATATAATTGAAATTCTTCATCATACACATTTTATTAGTGCCTGAAACTAATATTTTATAATTAGAATTTTAAAATATAATCAGTTAACGTATCGTAAAATTGTGGTTTTTCTTATTTAGGCGCTATATAAAACTATGTGAACATACTTATATATGGTGTATATATATATTATGTATGTAATTTATATACATATCTTAAAATTTTTAATAAAATAAAATAATTATTAATAAATTCAACTTATATATAAATAAATAATTATTAAAATTTTATTATAATCAAGAACATTGCTCGAATTTAGAAATATTTATTTGTTTTTTTATCTTTTTTTTTTATTATTTTATTTTAAGTCGATCCTTGAGGGTGTTTTTTGAATGTAGTATTTTGTTGATAGCGTATAGATTTTAAAAATTTATTAAAATATTTCTATAAAATGTTCAATCAATTGCCATTTTTTATATATTTCTTTTTTAAGTTTAAAAAGTACAAAATTTGCGAATATGTACATAATATCTAATAAATTTTTAAGTCACTCACAAAAATTGTGATTGTCAGGAATCTGTAATGCAAATTAATAACTATTTTTGTGTAGAAATAATATTTAAAAAAAAAAATAGGTGAAAGCTTTCATTATACATATGTATGTATGTATGTATGTATTCATTTCTACACAATAACCGTAAATATTTATTGTCTAATATCTTATCAAAAGAAAGTATATAACTACATACTATAAAGCTGTATTATATGCATATGTATTTCAAAAAATTGAAAATTAAAACTAATGGACCGACCTAATCTTTTATTATATTCTTTTTCTATTTTAATATTTTAAGTACTAAACTAGAAATTGATATTTATTTTATATTTTTAATAATAAAAAAAAAATCCTTTGCATTTGTAACTTTCTATTTATGTACAAATAACAGCATTTTTCAAATCTCAAATATTTTAAATCTGCATATTGAATTGATATTGGAAAAATATTTTCAGCAAATTATTTAAAAAAAAAAATAAAATAAAATGATTTTGGTAAGTATCGAGCATCTAAAAAAAATAATATAAATCTTTGCATTTAAATTCATACTTTCGAAATAAAATAAAATGTACTAGAGTCGAGTATTTTCTTCCTCAAGACTTGAGTCCTCTATATTATCATAATGTATTTCAATGTTATTTTCATGTGGCTGTGTTACATTCACTACCACTACATTATCATTTTTATTTTGAATAATTTGAATTTGGTTTTGTTCTGCATTATCATTTGCAATTTTAATATTATTGTCAATGCTATTATGTTTCTCAGTCAAATTACTATTACATTTTGAATTTGGTACTTTAACATTATTATTACCACCACTATTTAAAGATAATGTGCTTACTGATATTGATGTTGTTAAACTATTAAAACTTCTATATGTTTTTAATGAAAATGGATCTCCAACAGCATATTCAGAATTTTCAATTGATGTATTAGATTGAATTTCCAATGCGTTTGATTCTTGTCTTGATATTACATTTTCAAATGTTTGTCTTTCATTTTCAGTAAAAGTTGATCTTCTTCGACCAATTTTTCTTTCAAAATCTGGTTCAACAAAATTTCCAAGTGGTCGTGTCGGTGTTTCATTCACTTTTGGTGCTGGTGGAGAATCTAATTTTTTTGACATCAATTTTCTCATCACTTGTTCTACAGCATTCATTACAATATCATCAGGGTAGCTAAAATTTTTGTACAATTTCACTTGTAAATACTCAATTATTGAGTCCATATCTTTTAATTGTAACAAGTCTTTTTTATGAAGCATTAAAACAGTAACCGCCATAGCAATAACAACTCGCTCACCATCTAAAAGATAAGCATCCCAGACTCTTAGACATAGACTAAAGGGTATTCTTTCAACAAATATACAAAAGAACCATTTAATAGAATATAAAATTGAATCAACATTATGTTTTATGAAGTGAGCATGAAGATCTCTCATAATTTTTTTAATAATTCTATCATGATGCTCCAGAAGCCTTGTTAATTTTGGAAAACCTTCTATAAATAAACCATGCATAGCATATTTGGTATCTATCATCAATGAATTTAATGCCCAAAATGATTCCTCCTCATCCATATACAACAAAAATACTGCAGCTAAACTAGACATCCCTTGACAATATCCTAGTTCTGAATTGTATATACTATATGCATTTAGAATATTAAATAAACTTTTTTGTTTTAAACTATAACGTTCGCGGAATGCTATATTCTCACGAAATTGTCTATTTACATCAGAATCAATTTGCCTCGTTTCTGTTGAATACAATCTAGCATATTTCAGCATTGTGCTGTATATCCCAGGATTGTTAGACATTGCTTCATCAACTTTAAGAAGCTTCTTCCAAGCAACCCAACGTATTTTATTTGGAATCCCTTTGTACACTCTTCTACGCAGCTTTTCACTATTCTGATCCCATTTTGACATCATTCTCATCCATTTTTTGTCGCGCTCGATTTCTATTTTCGTTTGTTTAATTTCATAAACATCAAGTGTGTCAGGTAAGCGAGAATCATGTATAAAACCAAACTTATCAGTTCGATGATAAACTTCAAAACTTGGATTTTCCCATGGATAAACTTCATTGGATGGATCGGTTCCCAAATCATAGCGTTTGAAAATCTGCTCCCTTTCTTCCGCCGCTCTTTGCAATAGCTCTTCTTCATTCATTTTCATTTTTTTAACCTCTGCAGTTTGCATTTAAAAAGCCTGTTTCTGTTACATTTGTGTGCATGTATTACCACCAGTAACTAAGCCCGTCAAGAGATGCATAGATCACTATAGTCACAAATAAAAAAAAGATAAATCTATTTCAGTAATTTTTAGACGAAACGCCTATTTTTTTTTTCTTTTTATAGGTATCCAAATAATTTAAATATTTTCAATATCTTAAATACATATTTTTATATCTTAATAACAGGTTGGCTTTTCAGTTTCAAGCTCCTAAATTTTTTTTAGAAGATGTATTTACTACGGGTACCTACCTACTTACATACATATGTACACTTTACATAAATTCACCTATATACTAGATCTAAAACCTACTACCAAACATATATAATAGAAGCTTATTATTTTACACTTATTTTATTTATGTGACGGTTAAAACAACTCATCACAAATTTGTGACCTAAAAACCAAAAAATTTTACCATTGTATATAAATAAGAAAAATACCACTGTACTTAAAAATATAAGATGGCAATTGTCCTACATAAAATAATTTTTATGTGAGTCTCTATATCGATTTCGCTCCGTTTTTTAATCAGAACAATTTGAATTTAATAAATATAATAAACTAGTAAGAAATTATATTGTTCTAGTTACTAAACATAGTTAATTATTAGAGGATGTGAAAATATATAAATTCAAAAATGGTCACGAAAGTTGTCGCCTTTGTAATATTTACAATTACTTCTAATGACTCACGCAAAAACCAGATTTTAAATTACAAATTTTTGTTTCTCTTATAAATATAAGAATTTTGATTTGAAAAAAATTTCTTAGAAACTCTAATTAGATATATCAATTTTTATGTAGTTAAACGGTAAATCTTGCGTAGGTTTTCTCTTTTTTTATTTGGAAGTGAAATCATATCTCTAGACGTTCTTATGTACACCTCAATAATTCAAATTAATTCAAGTAAATGTGGTCAACATATAAAAGCACTGTGACTTTCTTATTGGTATAATTATTTTTCAATTACTTACTTTTATCGGTCTTTTGAATGTATGTATTGGAATATCTGATGCAGAAACTAAATTTTTTAATCAAAAATATTATTTCAATATTTTCAAAACTTAATTTATATTAAAAATAAAAACAAATATTTATGTAAACAGACAGCTAGCTTGTATCTGCAGACTTGAAGCACTTCACTGAGACGCTCGTTTTTTTTTCGATTGCTGACCGCTGCTAAATGACAGGTTGACGTCAAATAAAAAGTTACGTTACAAATGTCAGTTCTGTTTTACATGTGTTACCAAGTTCGTTTTTCTTTTGCTTATTTTGACAACAGATATTGCTTTGTGAATTTGCTTCGATCATTGAAAAAATTATTGAAGCTTAAGGACTGGCATAGAAAATTACAATTTCTAAAATAAAATTATTTTAATATTCACATTCATATAAACATTTAAACATTTTCAATTGAGTTCCTCTAATCAATTTAGTTGTTCCTTTAATCAATTTAACCAATTGAGTATTTTTAATAATTTATAGATTGTTTTCCGTTCGTTGGCAACCCATTATGCTTAGGGAATTGATCTAATTAAATAGGACTGCACACGGAACTATAATATTAAATTTAGTTTTAATATTAAGAAATAAATAAAAATATTTTTGAAGTTGCACTTCAAAAATATTTTTATTTATCTCGCTGATAAAATTCCGAAAGCGGATTCAACACTTTGTCGGCACGACTCAACCTGAAATTGAATGTCTTTTCCCTCCGAGATTGTGTTAAGTATGGGTAAGGGTTCGTTATGTGATTTTCTAAACGGAAAGCGTCAACAAATACATATGGCAGGGTTCTACTATTTCTAATAATTTTTGTAGCTAGTAAATATTTCGAGCTTTTTTTGATAATTGATCACAAACCACTTCTATTCAAAACACCCCCATCGCTAATTCTGCCTTTATAGCCTACGTCAACAAAAATTAATAATAGAAGTTGTAGGTATTTTTTTCGGACACATAAGAGGTTTGCTGATTGTATTATATTATCCATTTCTAAAATAATAAAACTTATGTTAAATTTTAACTAAGTACCTAAATTATTATAAAAAATTTACGAAGTAAAAGCTATTTATATTAACCTATTTTAATTTAAAATTTGTGTTGTATTTTTTTTAATTCAAGACGGAATTTGAATATATACTTGTTTTTTTGGTAATGTTTTAATTTTTTCTTGTTATTTAGTGTTTCACTCCCAATCTATACTCAAATAAAATTCTTCATTTTCCTCCATCTTTAAAATCTTCAGTTAAAACTTATAGTATAATCGTATGTCACTTTTTCAGCGCTGAATCATTGGCTTGAACACTGACCTTATAATTTTCACCAATATCTAATACGTTATAATTTTAAATCTGCTGTCTGTATAATGTGTGACTTCCCAGGACATTTTGGCAGAAGTTATGATTCTTAACGATACATAATGGGTCTGATCTTCTATTTTGCTCGGAAAGTGGAAAAAGTGAGTAATTATCATATACTGGCACAATGTAATTTTCGAGTGCGAAAAATTTGCCAAAATTTTGAAGTTGTCCAATTTCGAATTGTGTCTTTATATTGCATCTGATTATGTCTATAGAGTATTGAAAGTAATAAAAGATTAATGAATTTACGCTTGTGTCCCCAGTTTTGTGAATTAATCCTGTTTTGTTTTATTCGATTTGCAAATTTAAGATTAGTATGTATACAAAATATTTTTTTTTTGTGTTAAATCAAACACTTTTACACTGACTAAATGTATATGAACTAAGTATTATTTTTCTTGTATTCTGTTATACAATAACAACCCTTTTAACTATTTCCTTTTGTAAAATGCCTATTGAAAGATTTATTTACAACAATTCTTTTAGTTACTTTACCTTTTTCCGAGAAAATTTGTATTCCCACAAAATAAACAACTTTGGCAGTTGGCAACTTTGGCATTAATTGACAAATTGGATCGAAAGACATTTGTGTCATGTGTGATTGTTTTCATTCTTTGAAATTGAATTATTTATAAAATAGTTTTTTTTTATATTGAGGTAAAAAATTTTCCTGCAATGCCATTGATAGTTATTTCTGGTTATCCAAGCAGCTGCAAGACAACGAAAGCTAGAGAGTTAGCTAAATATTTTGAAGAAAAGGGTAAAGTAGTAAAAGTTGTATCTGAAAATATTGCAGTGCCGAAAGCGGGATTTAGAAAAAATGAATATTTTTCTGATTCTCAAAAAGAAAAAACAGTTCGAAGTGATTTGAAATCTGAAGTTATCCGTCTTCTAAATAAACAAGATCTTGTAATTTTTGATTCAAGCAACTATATAAAAGGATATCGTTATGAGATATTTTGCGCCACAAAGGCTGCAAGGACAACACAATGCACTTTATTTTGCGCGATACAAAAAGAACTTGCTTGGAAATTCAATAAAGGTAGAAATGGCACTGATGACAATTTGAAAAATGATAACAATGCTTTATTAGACAATTCAGATGTTCCGTACGATGAAGAGGTTTTTAATGGTTTATGTTTGCGTTATGAAGAACCACATGGCAATTGCAGGTGGGATAGCCCTTTATTTGTTTCCTTTCCTAACGATATCTTGGATTTCCAAGGAATATATGATGCTTTATTTGAATCTAAACCACTGGTTCCGAATCAATCAACACAAAATCCTCCACTGAGCTCAACAAATCATTTATTTGAATTAGATAAATTGACTCAGGAAATTGTTAGTGATATTACAGCAGCGAGAAAAATTGGGATATTAGGCCCAGTTTCAGTTAAAGCAACCGATGTTAAAGTAAATATACCAGATTCGATAAATGCGATTCAATTAAATAGGTTAAGAAAGCAATTTTTAAATTATACTAAATTACACACAAACGCAAGCTCTTTAGATAAAGCTCCGCAATTATTTGTACAATTTTTAAATTCGAATTTTAATAAATAATTTCAAATAAAATATTTAAAAATTCAACGTTGGCTATAACTGACTTTCTTAAGAACATTTTATGAATTAGAATTTCATAAAGAATTTTTTGAACTTTTGTAAGATACATGGGATGTGCTAATTTTTCAAATAATTTATTAATTATTTTAAACAACTCCTTATCAGACGTTTAATAATATGCAATTTGGTGCAGTTGTTGCTTCAGAACCCTTTCGTGTTTTATAAAAAATATACGTTAGAGAAGGGTATTTATTGGATTTTGCTTAGAGTAGTATATATATCTTGTAAATATTGCATAATTAAAACATTTAAGTCCTTAATTTTATGTAGGATACCATTTAATAATTCATCAATGTGAAATAATAATGAAATATGTACCTAATAATCTCATTTTTGATAAAGCTTCAAATAAAGTTAGGGACCCCCTTCTCAATTGCGTATCCTCATTTTTTTCCAATGCAAAAAAAAAATTTGTTTATTATTTACATTAAATATGTAATGAAATATAAAAATGGGCTTTGAGGATTCTTAAAAACATCTCTTTTAGAAACACAAATTTTAATTTTACACATCTGTAATATAAAGCGCAAAAAACTCCGATATGGCAATTAACATTTATTTTCTTTTACCATTTTTTTTGTTTTTTGGTTTTTAGAGTACCATAACCCTTCAAACTCTTAACACAATGTAATCAAGCTGCTAAAAACTCTAATCAATTTTTGCATTAAATTTGCTCTAATTTAAGTTATAAAACGGGTTTCAAATTTTTTAATTTTAGAAATTTATTAACAAAACGTTTAATTTTCAGTACAAATTATAGACTGATTTTATTTTTTGATCTGCTTAATTTCAAACAAATGTTGCATTATTAACTCTATGCTCATAAATGTTAAACGAGTAAATTTCTACTTATTTAGTCTTAAGTCAAAATTTTGTGTTGCAAAATCAAATATATTAAAAATAGATTCCAGCAAAGTTTACTTAAAGAAAAACTAAAAATAATAAATTTATTAATTTTCATTGATTATTTACCATTTACCATTCTTATCGCAGTTATGTAAATTCATATACATATATATATACATATATATATATTTATATATATTATATATATTTTACAATTTTTAAACTTTATACATATTTGATATAATTTTTTCACTTTTACATTTTCTGTATATAAAAATTTTTTAAAATTAATTTCAAATCGGTAATGATTACAATATTCTATGACTTTATTTCTTTTTATTTTATTAAAACAAAAAATGACTTGTGTGCGAAACTAAATTTGCAATAACAAAAAATGGAAAAAAATAAATTTTTTCTTTTTTATGAAACTTTCAACATTATTATTTGATTTTTATTATTGTTTAAATCTCTTTTTTTATAATAGATAACAAGAATGTTCTTTTCTTTCAAAAATAATTTGCTTTTTATTTTTACAAAAAAAAAAATTTTTTACATTATAAATAAAAATGTTTTTCACATAAAATCATCATAATCATCGTATCCACCATCATAATCATTGGCATTATTAGACTAAAAATAAAAAGAAAAATTAAATGTTGACTCTGCAAATAACCAATATTGTTATACGAAATTACCTTAATATCAGTTTCGACACGTAGTTTAATCTTAGTTTTGCCTTTAGTGGAAGGTTTTTTCGCCTTTTCTTTTTCCATTTTTTGTTTTTCTAAATGTAAACTGTCAATAGTAATTTTAATTTTTTTTAAATCGGCAGCACTTACTGCAAAAGAAGAATTAATCTTTGTATAAATAATAAATAAATTTTATTTCAATAAATTAAATAAAATTAGCACATGAAATACGTTAATAAATTTCTTAATATGAAAGCAGTAAAGTACTTACAATGAGCACAAATGCTACGAACTAATACTTCAATAAAAGCCGGATATTCTTCATCACTTTTGTAATTTGATATTTTAGTGCTAAGCGCTTCAGCAAATTCATTAAATTCAGCTTTATTTGTTGGATTCATTGCATCCAATCCAGAAAATGATTCGTGAACACCGAATGTATCAAGAGCATTTTTAAAATCTGATTCTTTTTCAATTTGTTGTAAGCGTAATTTTTCAGCTAATTTTTCTTCAGGTGTCATTTTTTCATATCGTTCTTCTTCTTCAATTTGTTTTCGCTATAATATAGATATTTAAGATCAATACTTTTGTTCAATGTTAAATATTTTTAGATTAAAAAATTACATCTTTTTCATTCAATTTTTGTTGGAGTGCTTTCTTCGGTTTAGTTTTTGATGGCGTAGGTTGAGCTTCTTGCTTTTCTTCATCTTTTTTTTCTTCTTCGTCTTCCCAGCTATCCTAAAATTATAATAAGAACAAAAAGTATTAACGCTATGAGTTTTAAAAAAATAATACTATATTAGATTTATAATGTTTGTTTTATTTTAGCACAATATTGTTAATACAGTCTTTGTTATTTGATAATTATGCTATTCTACTTATTTGTTCTAATATGCATTATTGATTTGTATAACTTTCACTTTTACACGTGGCCTTATTATTTTTTGGCAAAGAAATTTCGTTTTATAAATATAGCCATAAATATTATAAAAAAGACTGAACCTTATAAGAATTACTCTTAGTCTTTTGTTCACACCAAAATATATATTTTTAGTTTTTAACACATTTAAACACAATAATTTGCCTACCTTGACATCTTCATCCTCGTCTTCACCTTCCCATTTATTTATATTTGATGAAATTTTGGGTGGTGCTATAACAATATTGTCTTTCTCAGCTAAAGACTCTGTAAGTTTTTAAATATTGTTAATACATAAAAATTAATTCCTGAACAATTAAATGAAATATAAAGTTATGAGATCAGCAAAATTTTAAGTGGGGGGAATTGTGATATCAATTGTGGGTTGAATGTGGCAAAAACTAGTCTATTTTTGTAATATGAAAATTGATTACGAATATAAAAATTTTTATATTTTCTTACCCCAGTCATCGTCCATTTTGAAAACAATTTATTTAAATTTCCCAATAAAACTCTAAATTATTTATAATATGTAAAACTACTAATTTCAAAGAACTTTTAATAAATTTTTTAAATTATTTCTTGATGAAAATTTTCCTGACCACATTGCAATTTACTATTTTGACAATTCGTCATTTGTCTTTCAATTTCCAAAGAGTCAGTTATATTTTACGCCAATTACAAAGTCGTTCGACAATTTATTGCGTCGTCTCTATACAAAAGAATTTTCGAATTGAAACGACTTTGACGTAATTTACTATTTTTGATTTATAATTTAAATTTAGTGAGCAGATTTCGAATATTACAGTAATGCACTGATTAAAATAAAAAAGTCACTAAATAGAATTGTTTTTTAATTTTTTGGCTAATTGTATTAATTCAAATATAATATACTTTGCCGTCGCGAAAAAAAATTAGTAATGAATATTATTAAAATCATTTTAAAACCAGCTTATCATTTTTTAATATGCTATCTGATTTGACATTCGTCTTTTTACCAATTTAAAATCAATTTAAACCCACAATATTATTAAAGAATAATAGATTTTTTTAAGTTTAAAAGAGAAATATTAGTGTAGTTTAAATACAATAGCAAAAACATATAAAAAATAGTTAACAAAACTTAAAAGAATAGCTATTTCATTTATTTCTTAACAAATCCTCATCATTATCACTAAAATTATAATTAAAAGCAAATTCGAGTTATTCCGATTTTTATTTCGAAACGAAAATAAAATCAGATCAAGTTTCAACTGAAGGCAGGAATGCATTCATTATGAACATTATAAATTTATTATTGTGAATGACTGTAGAGTGTGAAAAATGTGAATGCAAAAAAAAGTTTTGCCGTTGTGATTTTCTTTCTGGCGCTATGGTGTTAATCAAAATAAAGTTTTAAATCAAAAATTAAAATTGTTAAAAATATATGATTTCCGTGCAGTTGAATTAAAAATATAAACATACCTATTAAAAAATATTGTTTGTTAATTTTTAAAAATATAAACGGACATACATGCCAAAATAAGAAAATATATGTATATTTCATACAATGAATACTAAAGTAAAGAATTTTGAATTTTTGGATTTATTGAATTTGAATAATAATGATTTGAAGTCTAGTGTTACAGTACCGGATGTAATATTAATATTAAATTCGTAAGTGAAAAGATTTTTCAAAACTTTTATAATTTACATACAAATTTGATTACCATTTTAGATACCTCAAGCAGGCTGATACACCAAAAGATGAAATTCTTTTGCACTCCATTACATTTATTTCCAATAAACTCTTAACAGTTTTTGGAACAGACACAGGTTTATTACAGTTGGAGGAATTGTTTATGAATTTATATGATATTTTTGAAATAGTAATAAAATGTAATAAAAACGAACAAGACGACAAAATAATCAATTATTTTTAGATAATAGATTCAATTTCGAGAAATCAAAGAACCATTAAAGATAGCAAAATTTCCGACTTTTTACATAATTTGCAAATAATTCTAGAAAAAATTGGAGAAGAAGATGAATTAAAATTATCTAATTTAAGTGTTTATATAATATATGGTATAAAATTTTTGGTAAAGTATTTTTCACTTCTCAAGGATTTGTAAGTATTAAATTTTTACTTTGAAATAAATGTGCAATTTTGTAAAAATTTTAAGTGAGTGTCGAATAGATGTTTCTGAAGAAAATGAAATGATCCTGAGCACAATTTTGGAACAATCCTTGGGTTTACACTCTAAAATATTAAGCATTCTAAATGAAAATGTTAACCTTTTGATTTGCCAGGGAGATGATGGTCCCTTGGAAACAATTGAAAAATGTAAATATGTTATTGTAAGCACCTAATTCATTTAATTCATTATCAATATTTTTTTAATTACAGTTTTGCTTAATTTGCTAAGCATAACAAAGATTTTAGTGAGTTTTAATATAATAGCATGTAGCACAACTTTGAAGTTTCTTTTGAAATTAAGTATCGTTAACTCTAAATATTTTGAAAACCAAATTGATAAAAATTTTAAATGGTTGACTGACGCCGTAAAATTTTTATGTGAACAAGTTCATTCTCTTTTGCTCCAATTTCATAATGAAGTACGTACAATATTAATATTCGATTTCTAATTTATTTTCTAATGAATTAATTTTCAGGAATTCCGAAAAGGATGTGTAAACGATATTACAAAATACTTGAAAGTTAGCTTATTTTTTATACAATGCATGATCAAAGTTACGGAACATTTCGATGTTCAAAATATATTTGGTTTTCATCATATTATACCAGTTTTCTTTGAAATATATAGGTAGCAAATTTCGTACTTTAATGACTAAAATAGAAATATTGATTAATATTGTTATAGGCTGCAATCAATACTTAGTTCTAATATTCATTGTCTAATTGAACAGTATTTAACTGCCAACATTTTGAGTCTTATTAGAATAGTTTATAAAACCGAAGATTTTATAGGGGTAAATATTTTATATCAATAAATATTCAAAATATTTTATAACAATATTATTCTTTTTAAAATTTTTATAAGGAATTATTGAAAAAATCACATGATTCAATAGATGACTCACGATTTTGTATCCTCGGGATAGAAATTATTGATTCCCTAGCTAGAGCAAAAGATCAATATGAATTTTCAGTGTACTTTTATGGTCAATTCTTTAAAATTTTATTTGAGAAAATCCCAAATTGTATGTGTTCTGTCTTATTATTTTAAACAAGTATTATATAATTTTCAGTTAGTAAGATTCTTTCTATTAAGGTGTTGAAATATTTCTTCTGCAAGAGAATTATATAAAACTTGAAGCTGGTATGATATCTTTATGGAATTTATATCACGAAAATCTTGACGTAATGAAAGCATTCGAAGAAATTTTAGTTGAAGGAATTTTACAATACGATTTAAAATTATCAAAAATATGTTTTGATATTTGGATTTATTTAGCAAGGTTTAGTATACACATATCTTTTTCAATAAAACATCTAATTATACAAATTTTTCTTTCAGAACTGTTAATACAAAATCACGTTGCCATTACTTTGAATTTTGGAGAGACCTACATGAAACTTTTCCAATAATTTGCTATGATCCAAAAATTGTTTCAATAGAATGCTTAATAAAAGTGTTTTATGATTCCCTGCCTAAAGAATATAAAAACGATATTTGGTCAAATGATAATTCAATAGATAGGTCTCGTTTAATTTATACATTAGGAACTAATAGCATTATTGATGAACTTAAGAGATTATCTTTAGAAAATTATTTCCAAGGGAAGTTAGAAGAGAATTTAAATTTAATTATTGAAAAACATAATTATGATTATCAAATATATATTAATTTGGTAAGTAAAATATATAACAAAAATTTAATAAAGAAAATTATTTTATTCATTTTTAAGGTAAAGTTATTTAAGCTTGTGACTAAATCAAAATCCTTTGATAGAAATATGTCCAGATTAATTATGAGTTTGATAGAAGTGATTTTATATAATACAAACTTTCATAAGCATGAATATTTCATTAATGTTTTTATAGAGTTCCTGTTCAAGAACAGTTTCTTTAATGTGTACGAAAAAAAAATCATTTGGCAAAAATTAAGAATTTTGGAAAACTATTCTATAGCCTTTTCCACTAAATTATATATAAGTTATTTCAAAGAATTTTTAAAAGAGGATTATACAACTTCCCGCAATTCATTGCTAGACATAGAAAATAAAATTGTTGATGAAGTAACCATAAAGTTTGACAACTTAAATAGTGAAACCGAATTACTAAAACAATTGAAGACAATAAAGTGTCCAAGTTTAACATTTTGGAGTTGTGAAGCAGATCTTGCAAAAGAGTTAAGTCTTGAAGTATCAGTGGAACATAATATGGAGATTGAACCTCCATTAAAAAAAGTAAGAGCATCAACTTTAAAAGAGGGAAACAGTTCTAATGTAATTAAAGAAACTTTGGAAAATGTGAAAAAAATTTCAACCTTTTTCGAATGTAATGAATTAAGTTTTAGTGATTTGCAGGACCTTAAAAATATCGTATTAATTTTAAATAATATTATTAACCCAAAATAAGTTAAATTATTTTTCCATACATACTAGTTAATAAACAATTTTAAAATTTGTTTTGTATTTTTATATTGGCTTATGTTTTATTTACATAAAATTTATAGCTTGATTGGTTTTGGTTTCCCAGCTCTAGCTTCTAGACGTTCCTTATGCTTTTGCTGTTGCTCCGCTGCGCTCAATGTACATCCTTTTCTCGCAAAACGTTGATTACACAAAAATTTCACATCCATCTAAAAAGAAATACATATATTGGATTCCATTAATATCCGACTTTATATAAGTCCTTCAAGTATATTTATTACTTGTGAATTACAACAAACACATTTAGATAACTTATACGTACATACATGTATGGTACTACTCAATAAATTTGAAGCTTGTTTTAAATTTACTTTTTAAATTTTATAATTACTTACACCTAAAGTAGATTCATGTCTGCTACGTTTTGGTCTCTTAATACCATTTCTATGGTCTTTACGGTTTTGGTTGTGATTTGTATGATTTTTTGACTTGGCCATTTTATAAGAAGTCTACAAAAACAAGAGAGTAGCAAATTTCTTTATTTGTTTTTTTTTAATTTAATATTAAAAGAGGATTATTAAAATAAAATTTGTTTTTTATTTAAAATAAATTATTTCTATACCTTTTGTTTTGACGGTAAACCGGAAAAGAAATTAGTTGTATTGTCAAATTATTTGAACATACATATAAAAGAAAAACACACTCTGTTTTTGAAACACTGAGAAAGAGGACAATTTTATATAATAACCTGAAAATAGATGGCGCACTTAATCTCATGATGTTTACATATTATTGCTTTAAGTTGCTTTATAGTTTTACAATTAATTTAGATGTCAAATAACCATTCCGTTCTCAAAGTTTATAATAAAATTTATCTTTGTATTTTGGATGACACGAATAACGTGTGGTATTGATTATTTAATCTTTCAAAATAGCTGAATATAAATAATATTTTTCTGCGACATTAATTTAAAATTTTACGATTTAGTTAAAGGATAACCTAAAAGAATGATTATTACAAATTGACAAAGAATGATTATTTGGAGTTGAATAAAAACGTATTTTTTTTCCATCTGTTTTTCTTGTTTTTATTTTTTGTATGGCATGGTTTAAATTTTTTAATTTAGGGTGCCTATAGAAAGATTTACAAAAATTGATTGTATTGTAAACGAACGTCAATTCTCTTCAATTTTCGTCAATCTCAATAATGGCTTATATACCCTATAAACAAAATTGAACTGTCAGCGTTAGACTAAAAAGAACATAATATGACAATAAAATGACTTTTAGGGGAACTGATAAATTTATTCGCATTTGTATCTACTGTAGATTGTAAATATAGAATATAGATAAAAAGTTTGAAGTCAAGTTGTATTTATTTCATTCTAGAAATAATTTAAAATTACAAATTGGTTCTTTTAAAATTTTAACATTAAAGGGTAAATATAGTTTTTTATTTGAATAATGTCTCAAATGTATTTTATTTGAATGTTTAAAAAATTTAGAAATGTTTATAAATGATTTTAGCTTAGTGTCTAATTTAACTCGCATTGTTTATTTACATAAATCTATCTTTTTGTTTTAGTTTATATAATTTTGTTTTTGTTTAAACGAATATTGGCTAATGCATATCAAATCTGTGATTTAATTAAAAAAAATCGCAGATCTTTGGAAACTGAGGTATTTGTTGGGACAATTGTGACTTAAATTCCAAATGTAGACCTGGTTAAAACTTTGTTTATAATGGATATTATTAAAGCAGAGATAGAAAGGAAACGGAAAATACTGTTAGAGAAAGGTCTCGTGGTAATATTTCATTTACTGTTCGAAATTTTGGTTTTTAATGTGATATTTTTAATTAAGGATAAGAAGAAAAGGTATTTTAAAGGCAGCGATTTAAATGATAAAACATCGGAAACGACAACAAATGGTGTTCCAAATAATGAAGCCAACGCAACTCATTTAGATTTGAAATCTGAAGGTATAGTTACTAAGAAATTTAGAATTAATAATTTCCAATTAATTATAGGTCAAACAAAAATCTTAATTGATGGTCATTTAATATTACCTCGTCATGAGGTTATTAGACGATTACGAGAAAGAGGTGAGCCTATCTTACTATTTGGTGAGAGTGATGTAGAATCCTTTAAACGCCTAAGACAGAGTGAGATTTCTCAACCAGAATCTAATAGAGGATTTCGAAATGATTTTCAAGAGGCAATGGATGCTGTTGATCAAGCATACTTGAAAGAAATTTTAGAAACAGTGTCTCCAACAAAATCGGAAAAAAAAGACGAAGAATCGCAATTAGATGCCAGCATAAATTGGGAAACGATTAAAGAAATGGCTAAAGGGATGGGTCGTGGTAATAAAGAAAAAGATTTACATATTATAGAAACACTGTTGCAGTTTTTATTAAAAAACTGGAGTGATCAAATTAATTCCTATTCGGCACAAGAAAAAATGACAACTAAGGTAAAAATGGCAAGAGTAATATATACACAAACCAAGGAGTATTTAAAACCTTTATTTAGAAAATTAAAACACAAAACTTTGCCTGAAGATATTTTGGACAGTTTGCGTGACATTGTGAAGCACCTATTAAATAGAAATTACATAGCTGCAAGCGATGCCTATTTAGAGATGGCAATAGGTAATGCTCCTTGGCCGATTGGTGTTACAATGGTAGGAATACATGCTCGAACAGGAAGAGAAAAAATTTTTGCTAAAAATGTTGCTCACGTCATGAATGACGAAACACAGCGCAAATACATACAAGGTTTGAAAAGGTTAATGACGAAATGTCAGGAATATTTTCCAACAGATCCTTCTAGATGTGTAGAATATGTTAGTAAAAAAGATCAACCACAGAATATGTAATCTTAGATTGAAATATTAATTATATATTTTGGAAATCGACTATTATTAGTTTACAAAATATTAAATAATGATACCAAGAGCCAAAATCGTATCGCTAATTGATAAAAACAATTCGACTATGAAAATTTCATGAAAATATTTTCGTATGTAATTTTCCATAGATTATTGTCATATATGTATTTTTATGAATATGAATTGTACAAATTGAAATAAAATCATATTATTTATACATACATACATATGTATTTCTTAAGTTTAGATTAAAGACAATGCCCTTTATCTTCACGCATGGATAGGTACATATGTATGTACATATGTAAAATAAAAATTTACGATCTATAAACAGCTTCGGCGAAAATTTGAACCTATTATAGTCACCATACATGTACTCGTATTTAATTTCATTTTTTTAACGAAGACTAATAAAAATACATAGCTTATGGTAATGGACCAAATTAACGTGCAAAAAATTGGTTTTTGGAAATGTATTTATTTTAATTATGGATAATTCAACTATTGAATTTAATAGGCTTGAAATTTTTTCAAACGACTTAATAAACGTTCATTCAATTTCATTTTTACCCCCTAAATGGTGTGAAAAATACCAAATAAAATTGAATAAATGTCGATTTTACTTGCAGCTCAATTTTTTCAAGAAATTTTAGCTTGGGTAGACGGACAGGTCGGGTCTAATCTAGTATTTCCAATAGATTTAGGTCTATTGTACGTCTACCGTTTACGATCTTACGGTATTTATGAATATGTATGATTTTGCAAGTACGTCAATGTCGATGATAACACAATTTAGTGATGTGCGCAATATTTGGTTAAACATCTTGGAGAAATCTTGCTCTCAATGAAAAATATTGATTGCGACACGACGAAATTTATGAAATCTCTTTACTTGGCATTTCAACTTAAAAAATGACAATAAACTTAATTTATTAAATAGTTTTTTAAACATATTTTATATTTACATATAAATATTCGCAACTTTACCTAATTACATTTCCACAAAAGTACTACAAATTAGATTATTAAATTATAAAAAAGAAGTATTAAAAATTAAATTAAATATGAGTTTTAAAAATGTGTAGTTTTTTTAAAAAGAAAAAACAATTTTATGAATATTCAAAATCAAGATAAACCTTGGAATGTGGTATCACTTCTCAAACTGAAGGTTCATTAAGAAAACAAAACAGTTGTTTTTTGTTTTGAAGTTTTCAATATATTTTGGCGGCATTTCGAAATTACGATACGTTAATTTAAGTTACTTAATTTATTTTTTGATAAATATAGAAAATATGAATTTGACCTGCGTTATATGCGCTGAACTATTTGTTCAGGCCGACGATGTTCATGCTACGCATTGTGGCCACTTGTTTCATCAAATTTGCCTTATTCAATGGTTAGAAAGGTGAGTAGAAACAACTATATGTATATAAGTATGTATACATACATTTATATGTTAATTTTTAGATCAAAAACATGTCCGCAATGTAGGCATAAGTGTTATCAAAAGTCACATCATAAAATTTACTTTAATATAGGCAATTTAGATACAAGTAATATAGATATTGCGTCTGTCCAACAACAGTTAGACGATGCCAAGCTTCAAAACCAATTAAATTTGAAGGAACAGGAAAAACTCAAAAAGGAAATTGATGATTTGAAGGGAACTAGGAAAAAGTGCTTGTAATATTTTCAATTTTAATGAAAGTATTGAGCAATAATTAGTTTTATACTTTTTTAAGGGAAACTATTACAGCATTGGAATCAAAATTGGAAAGCAATAAATTTGCTTTATCACAATTTGCCGAACAGGTAAGTGTTAAAAATATGTATGTATGTACATATGTATATAATACGTTAAACTTTTGCTATGCCTCAAGAAAATTTTATATACATAAATAGGTTAAAGTATTAAAATGTGAAACAAAACTGGTTGAAACACAACGTAATGAAATAGATGAATTAAAGAAGCAAATCCAACTAATGGAAACTGTACAGAAAATGATATCTTCAACAACAGCTGAAGTAGAGCAATTATTAGAACAGGATTCTAGTTCTAAAAGCTTAGCGACATGGGTAGTGTTATTGAAAAAGGAATTAAGAGCTTGCGAATCTAAAAAAGCTGATATAAGAAACACTTTAAAAAGTGTTCAGCATGATCTTAGAAAGTCGTTAGATGCCAAAAGGTTGTTGGATTTCAAGTAAATTTTAAAATGCTATAATCCAAATAAAATCTAATTTTACAGAAACTTAGAATCGAAACTATCTGCTCTGGAAAGTGAAAATTATCAATTAAACTCAAAAGTAATTTTTTAATTATGAAATATCAAAAATAATTTTAATAAAATGTATTTCAGGTTGAGTCATTAGAAAAACAGTATTTAGTTGAAACCAGTGATTGTAACAATGATAAAAATTATAAAACCAAATCTGACTGCCAGTGTAATAAAAAAAATTCACTGAATTTTGAAGAAAGTGTGATTAATTTTAATGAAAACTCTCCTGGAATTGTACGTAGTATATTTTTAATCTTTTATAAATTTGTTAAAATATTTATAGTGTTGACATACATTTTGATAATTTTATTTGGTTTGGATATTATTTCCGGTTGGTATGGTTTAATTTTTATTTGCTATGTAGTTTTCTTTTTATGAAAATTGAGCATCGAATTAAATTTGCATTTAATATTATTTGTCCATTGATATATGTATTTTTGTATAGAATCTATTTGTAACTTAAAACAATAATGTTGATAAAAAAGGTAAATTAAATTTAAAGGTATCTTCAGTTATAGAAATCGAAGGCAAAAACTATTTATGTAAATATTAAATTCAAACTATTAATAAAAAAAAATGTATTGTCAAATCAAATAAAAAATATTTAATAAAGTTTATTTCTTTTTCTTGAATATAAAACATAAACAAACTAAATTAACCATTTTACAGCTTAAAAAAGTAAAAGAAATTGTAGAATCTGATTCGCCTTATTTGAATATTAAGTCAAGTAGCTTAGGGTTGAAACCAATATTAAAAGTTGCAGATCGTGTTCGACATAATAATCTTAGACAACAGGAAAAAGTTTCTACTTTAAATGAAGTAAAAAAACCTGATAGCATTTTTGAAACACATAGCAATTTAGCCTTATTGAAAAAAAGTCGTAGTGAAGATTTACGAGATAAGGTAAACTTAATATAACAATTAATTATGGTTAAATTTCAAAATTATTTTTGTTCAGTATTCAATATTTAAAAAACCTCGCCTGATAGAGCCATCTACAACGAGTAAATCAATTTCATCTTTGGACTGGATGGTTCCAAATGGGTTTGGTGGTTCTGAAAAAAGAATGTTAAGCCCCACAAAACCGCTTTTATTGGATGATGAAGCTAAAGCGAAATTTAATAATGTTAATAACCGTTTAAAAGCTGGTAAATTAAGGAAAATATCATCCGCTACCCAGTTAAACCATGATAATACTTTAGAAAAATTTATCAAAAGGGTATAATCGTTGATTTTTAAAAATATTTTAGCTTCCCTTAAGAGTTAATTTAGTTAAAATGTTAAAATTCTATTTATTGTTTAATTATTGATATAATATATTATAACAAATTGCATTAAATAAAGAAAATTTAGATTTAATAAATAAAAGATGAAATAAGTTTAAAGTAATTTGAATATGCTGTTCAATTTAAATTTCAGATATTTGATTACTTTATTATTTTAAAGTACATATTTTCACTTTATTTGTAATATTTAACTTATATAATTTGTTTTATATATAGTATGAGCTATTTGATTTTTCAGTCTTAGCTAATCTACAAATCTAATTTCTTCAAAACTCAATGAGCATACTATAAAAAAAAATCAAAAATAACGTTATTTAAATAATTACGTTAAATTTTTGAAAAAAAAAAAAACAATTATATACAATGTACATATTACATTTCCAGTCCTTGGATGTATTGGAAAACATAGAAAATGTTTATGACGAAATAGTGGTGGTAAATTCTTATTCTAGCCTATATTTTGGTATATAGTTTCGATTTCCAAATAAAGAAGGCTATGAAAATTTTGATTATTTTATATTTTCTAATAAAATTTTTTTATTCAGTTAGTTTTGTTTTAAATTTCGTCTCGTTCGGTCGGTCGGTTTTAAATTCAAGTAGCTATTTTATTGTAATAAATGGCTAGAAAAAAGAAAATAAAAACATTTATATTACAAAAATTAGCAAATAAAAAATAAGAAAAAAAAATTTATAAAAATCATTTGTTTTAACAGTAGAAAAATTTTTTTTATTCTTTTTTCTTTCCGGTTTTGTTTTTTATTTGAATTTAATTGGTTTCAAAATTTTAATTATATTCAAAGTTATTAACGGTACAATAGTATAATATCCAAATTAAAAAATTCATTATTTAATTATGTTTGAGTTTGTGTGCATTTTTTTTTTATTCAAAAATAGAATAAAGGCTACACACAATTTTTTTTTTCGTCTGATGCAAAACTTATACAATTTTGAATTAAAAGTTAATTTTTTTTTGTTGAAAAGTGGAAGAAAGCATATTATTTAAAAAAAATAGAGGAAATATTTTGTTTTCTACAAATATTTAAAGTTGTGATTTATTTTTTGTGTAACAATTATGTAAGAATTTTAAAATATTTTAAATGGTTGAATTATTTCATATAGACGTTATTGTATAATTGAAAGATATTATAATAAAATATAAATACGATATTATTATATTTTATATATAGATACATATATATATATTTTTGTGTAAGGATATATTTTAATTATTTTTATGTATGAAATGTATTAAGTGAAACGATGATAAAATTTAAATTTACTTACATACATAATGTATTGTATGTAGGTTAAGTAAAGGAAATTTAATTTTTAAAGAAATAAAAAAGTACATAGATAATTTTTACTTTTTATTATAAATTAATTTAAATTAATTTGTGCACAATTGTGAATACATATTTACATACATAGTATACAGTCAGCGATTTGGGATGATCGAATTATTCTTTATTAATCTCATGTTCACATTTACTCTGCACATATATTTTATATACATCTATATACATTAAAGAATAATAAAGTTATGTAAATAAATTTATATAAGACGTGTAATTAAATTTCTTTTTAAAAAAAATATAAAACTTGGATATATTTGATTAAAAATTTTACGTAAAAGTATCTGCATAAATATATATATATACATATACACATAAGTATGTTTCAATTTGTTAAAATGTTTGAAAAATATTGAAATAAAATTATTAAAGAATTATGAATTAAAAATTAAAGTTATATAAAAGTTATTCTCTTGAAATATTTTCTATTAAGGAGAAAAGTTATTAAAAATACTTATAGTGTAAGGTAAAATGGAAATTAAAATTATTTTAATTCAATTTAAGAAGTAAAAATAAAATTAATTTTTGAGATATTTTTATTTTAAAATTTTTAATTTCTTGAAAAAATGTGAAGTACAGTTTTGTTTCAAGGTTTTTGTTTTTATTTAGTTTTTAGAGTTTTTGAAAAATTATGGTTATGATAAATAACTTGAATTATCATAAAGAAGAATGTAGAATTTCAATATCTACGATTAGAATATTATTATAAACATCTATATATTTACACAAATATTAAAAATATTTTTTTTTTTTACAAATTAAGCAAGAATTTTTGTTGTGCATATATTTGAATTTAGTGTAAAATTATTGTTAGGCATTAATAATTTTAAGAATTTTTAAGTTATTTCCTTGTTTTTTATTACTAACAAATATTGAACCATAATTTTATATTAATGGATTTCAATATTATAAAATACTTATTCTATATTGATTATTATTAATATTAATATGTTTAAAAAATGGGAATATTTTACATTTTCATTCTCACATTTTCATTTTCACTTACCTTCTACTATACTTGTTATATGCCTTAGTAGCTTCTTCTTTTTTTGACAGTTCTCTCATTTAAACTTATTTATTATGAAAATTATTTACAAATCATTTTCCAAAAAGTTACTTCACATTTATTTTTTGTTCTATAATATAATATCTGTAATACATATAACATAGAAAATTTTCGATCTCAAAATAAACTTTATAGTGAAGAATAATTGTGTACAATTACGAAAAAATAGATGTAACTGAAATCTGAAAATATTAATAAAAATTGACATACTACTTTTCCTGTAATATTAAAATTTTTTTATATTTTACATTTGTCTACACATTTCGTATATTTTATTTGTAATTTTATGTAATAAGTAATAGGACTAGTAACATATACATATGTGTATGTATAACAGGGCATTGCATATAGTATACATAATACGAAGTATGGGGTTTTTCAAAAATTCAATTCTTACACCTTTATACAAAGTATGTTCAATAAATCAAAACTGCAAATGTACCATGTTTGATAAATCTTTATTACAGAAAGAAGCCCCGTCGAAAATCTATAGCATACTCAAAGTTCTAAAGCTTTTTTAAAAGAATTTCTTTAAATACTGCAAAAACATTTTAAGTTTGAAATAATAGAAAAATGTAAGATATTTAAAATTTGAAAAAGTAAACTAGTTAGTAGATATAGATTTGTAATGATGCGAAGAAATTTTTAAGATTTAGGTTAGAACTTTAAGATCATATCTGAATTATCAAAAATCCTCTATGTGATACCAACTAATTTTACTAATATTTTTTAATTACGTATGTAGGAACTATTATAGAAATTATTTTTGAACAAAAAACTGTGGCAAAATTTGGAGATTAAAAATATCTTAAAAAAAAATGAAACTATACCATTATAAAATTGTTTTCTTGCTTTTTTTCATTATGATTTTCATTATGAAATTTTAGGGATTCATAATAAAAATATAATTAAAACCTTGGATAACAAAACTAAGTATAATACTTAAGCATATTTCATGTATAAAATGTATATACACATATATATCTTAAATCCCTATTGAAGAGCACTTAATAGGTTTTGAATAGGTCAGAAAAGTTGATTATAAATAACCATACTTAATTCTGATTTTTAATATTCCAACAAAAACAAAAAGTTTTCTATTTTCTAGAGATTTAATTTTTTTTCCTTTTTTTTACAAAAAAAAATATTTATGTGCTTATGTACATTATGTGTGTTTGTATTAATTTAAATTTTGATATTAAAACTCTTGGAATTTCTGAAATTCTATATGAAGCCCATACATTGTTGGATATGTATACTTTATGTATGTATGTACATAGATATTTAAATGTCTATTGTAAAAAAATGGAAAAGAATTTTAATTATTAATATTAAAAGAAAAAAACAAAGGATTTATTTGAAAATTATTAAAGCTTTTAGAAAAAAAAAATTTTGTTTTGAGTTTTAATGAAATCTTTTAGGAAATTTTTAAGATGCTAATTAAATTTCATTCTAAGAGAGAAATTCTTAATTTTTTACACTAACAACAATCAATATAATTACAGGATTTAAAGAATTATTTTTTAATTGACAAAATAAAAGAAAAAAAGAGGAAAATAATAAAAAATAATAAGTATGCGTCATAGTAACCATTTACAAGAAAATTTTTTTTGGAAGCCGATTTAAAAATTTTGTTATAACAACACTAAGTCCTCGAGATACGACATCTTCTAATACGACATTTCGAGTTACGACATGATATAAATTTGGATAATTTTTATTCGGCTTACGACATTGTTCCTAATACGACATTGAAAATTTAAAAAAAAAATTGCTTTTTTGACAGATTTTACTGTTTTTTGAATAAAAATCTATACCGAATCTAGTTATAAGGCAAAACTAAAGCACATACTTCAATAATGAATTCTTTTTTGTTAAAAATTCTAGTTAGTAGTTAAGATTATGAATTGAAGTGATAAAATATCAACTTAATCAGATTTTATTTTATTTATTTTTGTTACAAAATTGAATTTTTTTGGTTTTGTTATTATATTTTGTTGTTTTTTTCAAACTTTGTTACCTTTTTTAAAAAAAAAGATCAATTATTTTATAAAACAGTTTGTCTAGTTCACTTTATGTGTCCATACATTTTTTTTCCTCCTCAAACGACAATTCGAGTTACGACATAAATTTCTGGAACCAAAAATGTCGTATCTCGAGGACTTAGTGTATACGTATATGTGTGTTTATATACAATAAACTTTATATAAGAGTCTGTAAATGTATGGTCTGCACATAAAACGTAATTTAAATTTTTAGTACATAATACGTGTACCCACGTTTAATTATAAAAATAATGTGAAGTCAAAAAATTTTTAATTTCAATTAAGTAATTTTTAGTATATTAGTAATAATTAGTATTTTTTCTGTTTCATTTGAACTTCGTTACTTATTGTTGTTTTGGATTTGTATTAAAATTGGTTCATCTATTAATAAAACATTAGATTGAGTTTAAATAAGATTAGCAATCTTTAGTGATGGCCAATAGGTCCGAAGAAAATTTAGGCTGGTTGAAATTTCTTATAGATAAGTAGAATTCAAAAATGTATTTAATAAAGTTGGGTCAAACCAATGGTTTGTATTGTAGCACTTTTCCCTTCATCAAGTGAAAATTCTGCTTTTAAATACAGT